ACTAAGGTTGGAGTCCAGGTGGGGCGAGGTGGGATCGGTCTTTTGTGATGCAGGTTTTAGCGGTGTCCTGTTAGTGGGACATGAAGACAATGAGCTAACAGAACCATAAGAACTGATTTTCCGCAATGCAGACTAAGAAAGAGATGCAAAAGTGTTCAAAACATCAACAAGTGATGGATGAGTGCAAACAAATTGAGTAAAGACCAGTAATTAGTGATAAAATTAATTCACATGATACGACTTGGAGACAGAGCAACTAGCCGGAAAGCATTCGGCTTCAACATAAATGACATCGGAACATTATGCTCACTCACCTTAGTGGACGGACAATATGTGACTGAGTGAAAAAATGTGGCTAAAACAATTGTATCCCAGAGAACGCGGGCTATGCCAGACGATAGGTCGATTGAGGAAGAGGCGGGTTCCATGTAGAGTATGTAGGGAGATTCGATGGAGAATCCATTCGGGAAGGAAAGTAGCTGTTCTTGCTGGAAGGGCAAATTAAACAAATGATTAAAATATTCTGAGAAAAGTCCATGTAACCACAAAAACTAACATTGGCGACCTGACATTACAGCAGAGCTAGTGATAGAATGAAAATAAGGCAGAAACATATCTGCAGAGAATGTGGGCGTTAGGTCCTTTTGCATAGAGACAAGAATCGGATAGCATAACCGGACGCCACATGATTGTTTTGGTCATTGGAACTTAAATTGTGCGCAAAAATTAGGTGCCAGAAAATGAGCTAATTTTTGTGAAATTAATTCACCACATTTTGACACAGGCCAATTGTCCAAAGAGAAGTTAGGTTCCGAGGAATCTTTTGGAGAATAATTGTTGGATTCGTGTCTTTTGGTGATTGTTCGTGGCGATGTCCGTCACATGAGAGATGAAAGCCCAGTACGAAGTCATCGGGGTCGCAGGACGGTGAGTCGAGGCCTTCATCGCATAATCCAACAATCGCAGCTTCAAAGCAACCCTCCTTCGGTATCCAGTGGAGTCAATTTACGAATCCGTTTCAACCACTTTGATATGCCGGCATCAATCTAGTAAGGGATTATGCGAAACCCAGTCTGTCTTCATTTGTGCCAAGCATTTGTCTTGCTGTCTTTTGATAAAATCGACCATCATATACTTTCACTCGAGATGGAAATAAGCACAAAAATTGCCAAGTTGAATTATGCGAAGAAAAGTTGGGTTTCGAGCAATCTCTTGTTTCACAATTGTTGAGCTTACTTCCATTTCGAGTGGAAGTGTTTGTTGAAAAGATTCGAAGGTCGGTTCCACCAGATGACGACGGCCGATTCCTCTTGATCAGCTGTCGATTGGCTTTACTGGAAGATTCATGCTGACGCACGAAATCATAGCACATTTTGGCCGAAATCGAAGAAGATTGCCTCGAAACTGCGGCAACAAGAATGTTCGAGTAAAGTCAATCGACTGCTGGTCAAGAGGAATACGCCGTCTTCTTCTGGTGGGATCGACCTTCTAATCTCTTCCTCAAACACTTTCACTCGAAATGCTTCACAATAACACAGTCAGGGATGATTTATTTTGATGATTCAAGCATTGCTAATGGGTTTTTTTCATATAGTATAATGAGTAGGTCTCATGATGCCATTGGAGTTCAGGTGATTTAATGGAGCATATTCTGGGAAAATCCGATGTAGCTCTGAGGCTGCCGGGCAATCGAGGTACCACCGATCTTAAGTGCTGAAAGTGGAAGCCGAATTGAGCGAAAATGAGAGAAGTCCCTTTTATAGTGAGGGGAAAATTGGATGACATAAAAAGACTCTACCCGATTTGCTATTTTACTGGAGGCTGGCCTGCCTGGTAGAGGGGAAGAGACCGCGATTCAACAAATGCAACATCATTTTCGATATAAGTAGTTTTCGAGAATATCAGTAATTCTTTGCTAAGAGCCTAGTCAACCCATGTCGCTTAAGGAAATTTAAGAATTGTTAGTTTAGTTTTTTTCCTTAATGAAACGGGTAGGCCTAAGAATTGCCTTAGATTTCACTTGGCCCTACTTCCCAAAATTCAATCTCACCCAGACTGGAGCGGTCTACATTTTCAACCTCTTCTGAACTGGTCTCATCCGTACCCCCTGTGAGGTTTGCTGTTGAATTGTGAGAATTGTGGAGAGATTGCAACTAAACTCGGTTACGTAATCACGAGTTCCAGTAGGTCACAAGGCGAATTCGAGAGGTGAGCTAAGACAATCCAGGACCCTATCAGCTCACATTTATAGTGGGATTGTCGATTGAGTAAACCTGTGTTTGCCATTCAAACGGACGACGTTACTTATTTCTGATATAAGTAGTTTTGAGTATATAAGTATTTTTTAAATTGTCTCACAAATTACTTTTATCGAAAATACGTAATGTCATCGGTTTGAATAGCAAGCATATGTTTGTTTTATCGCCAATCCCACTATAAATGTGTGCTGGCAGGGACCTAGCTTGCCTTGCATCTCGAATCTGTGTAGTCGAGTGGAGTGGTAACCTCCCCACGATACCGACGATCCAGTTTCCTGGCGAAAGGATTTGAAAGCGATGAGTATAAAACTGGCATCGTGCACGAAATGGCAATATTTGGTTTGACACTGCTTGCATCTTTGGTGGTGTAAATATTTCTCAGGAAATGGACTTTTATCTCTTATAATCACGGTTCTATAAAGGTTTATTTTGTCGTTTGATTATTTTACATGTTTGTTCAGCTATTTATCTTTAATCGCTTATCTGGTTTAGAACATGTCGTTTGGTTATCCAACTCATTCGATTTCTGAGTTGAGAAGGTAGTATTTACAGGTGGTTAAGATAACCACGTCGCGGTTTCAACAAAGCCTCTAAAAACTTAGCCTCTCCTGCATCCTCGGAGACCTCTGACGTGTCTCTTGGGGATGTGGCTCACTAGCCATACAGACTATGCTATTGTAAAACCTCCAGGAGGCTACCAAGTAAACTGTCCGATTTTGGAAAGCGAGGTCGGACAATTTCAAAAACGAGCAATAAGTTTATTTAAGATGGTATTGTGGATGATAAAGTTGGGGTTGCTGTGGTTGTTGTTATTGGTGGTGACGATGGAAGGAGCCACGCTTTGCCTAGTATCCTCCATAATAGAAGGAGGCTAGCGAAAACAGAGTTAATGAAAATGTCAGCTTATCGTGCTCAGTCTTAGAATGAATGGAGAATCTAGGGTGGCATGGCAAGATAGCACTTACTCTGTTCACAATAATCCAGTTGTGCTGTCCGTAAAATAGTTTGTACGTGTATGCCTATAAAAGGAGGGATAAAAATTATTTTAAAAGAAAATAATTAAGGGCAAAAGTAGGTGTTAATATGAGAAGGAAAGAAAGAAAAAAAGAAAGAACAATCAAGGTATGAGAGCCTAGTCTTTTCCGACACTATCGGAGAGTAGATTGAGCTTGGTCTGACCTAATTGACCAAGCCAACTGAGAAGATCCATTTGGAATGCAGATTGTAGGTAAATTAGTTGGCAACTGTGCCATTGGGTCTAGAGGCATTCTGCTCTGAAACGGCTAGAGAGCGCCCAGTCGTTGCATCTTTTTGAAAATTTAATCTTCCGTTTGTCTCAGCCGAAGAAAATAGTTCGATGTGGCAGTACACAGCGAAATATCCAAGCTTGTCTATCGAAAATTCAGGACTAAACCCTGGCTCATGTATAGAATGGGTTCATTGAGTAGGCACATCAAAAATATTCTTCTCCAATAACTTACAAAAATGTCGACGAAAAGGAATGCTGGTGGCGAAACAGAAATCGCGCCATAAACGATATACATCAGCTTCCAATCTGTAATGAGCAATAGTAACTATCAGACTACTTACTCATAATGAGTAGTATAAGGTGTATTAACTTCGCTTAAGCATGCCTGATTCAGGTCCAATCAGCTGTTGAAGTGAATTTTATTCCGAAGGAAAATGTATGCCCTTAACAGATACAACGAAAGGAGACTGCAACAATACAAAAGGCCACATCATCTTGATCTTCATATCTTCGCTTTAATGTTATAGTTGTGAATATACTTTGATTAGGCTCACTCTAAACGTCGCCTCTTGGTTTCCGATTGTTCATATGAATTTAATTCTTCCAGCAATTTGGTTCATAACGTTGAGGAATTCATCCGAACTTAACTTGCCATGCGACCAAAGTGCAAACTAGTCATTCAGGAATTGAATAGGCACTCTTGGTTGCAGCTGTGGCTCCTCGAATTCCCATTTCCAATTTGTCCATGTCAATATTGGTGGAAGTGGAGAACCCATCGTGAGTCCAAATATTTACTCATAGACATTGGCGCCCTTGCTGGGAATATACAGCGTCAAGTTAGTCTCCCATCCAGTTTGAGAATCCACACTTTGGTGACCGGCTCAGTGAGGCGGGAGTATGAGTTCTATCAAAGACTGGGAGCAGAGTTTAGAACATAATGCCTCGAGTAGAAAGGATCTAGTGGCAGCGATCGAGTTAGATCACTGAACCAGGCAGATCAGAGACGGATCCTACGAAGCAAGAGGGAGACTCTGATAGGACCTGAAGGAAGAGGATTGCGGATTAAACTTCAGCCTTGGATCAACATTCGCAGCACTAGGGGGGGATGTGGAACGAGTGGAGAGTGTGAATAGATATCAACTAGGCTTAGATGAACATTTATGAAATTGTGATATTGACGGGGCTACAGAAGGATAAAGGTAGGATGAATAGCCCGGGACAGAAGGAGAGATAGCACAACTGTTTGGCAGACAATTGGTCAAAAGAAGACTTCAGTTCTCCTTTTGAGGATGTCTAGTTTGGTCTACGATTCCGGCGAAACGTCTGGGAATGTACCAAGTCCACGTTCCGACTCTGGAACTTATCATGCATTTTATGGTCTCCGGACAAAGTGGGCTCCTGTAGGTCTTCCTGTCAACATGAACAAGTTGCGAAAACAAGGTCAAACAACTTCTGGCCTGACTTGCGTCCTCAAAAGAGACTGGGATGAGCCTTTATTTGAGGCTGGCTTAGCCGATTATACACCATTTGTGTTATTGTATTTTTCTAGTCAGAGTGCTCGGCCCTCTTTCCATGAAACAAGCTGCAACGCTGCAGCAGTGCAAGCAAACTATCAGCACGCATGGATTGAGGTGACCTAATGGTGCGATGATGACTTCTTCGCTAAAATCCCCTGCCTTAGCAGCCGTAAGGGCCTCCTCCTTCGACACCCGATGAGGCCAATTTGGCAACCGCTTTCATCCACCTCTCCAAGCAAAATGAAAAGTACAACAGCAACGTCAACATGTAATTGCAAAGGTTGTCGGAGTCCGTCATTCAATGAGGAGGCGTCACTAGAATGTGCAGTTTTGACTCAATGTAATTCAGGAAAAAAGTTGATAAGGTGAATAAAGTTGTTATGATGACAGGCTTACATGCCACCGCTGAGTTTATTGAAGCAGAAGAACATTTATCTGCTCTTTTAAGCCTCATTTTGGCGCAGACATTTGGACTTCCGCCAACGGAAGCAACTGACTAAAGTGTCGTTTGCGTCCACTCTAGTCGCTTGGCTG